TTGCAGCCTTCAGTTGAAAATCAACACGAGCCGCAGAGAGACCGTAGAATAATACGTTTTTTCCAACCGAAGCAGAAGCACTCGCTCCAATTAGAGTTGGCTGCTCTGTTTTTGGCACAAGCAACACCAACTTGTTTGAGAACAAATCCAAATTGAAACAATTTTGAGGATTACTGGCTTATGGCTTTTATTTATTCAGATCCCACTCGTTTTTATAACATTTCAGCCAGGCACTTTTCTTTTAGCAGGGACAGGATTAGTGTTATTATTTCTGCATATTGAATCCATGGGCAGTTGGCAACTGATACTAGAAAAATATCCAAAGCATTAAATTGGTCTTTGGAATTCAACATCATTTTATTTATATCATTGGGAAAGTGTTGCTGCGCCAGACGGTGGAATGAGTGGTTGGTAAACTTGCTTTACAGCAGGAAGATGTCAAATTTAAACTCTGGTCTTTCTCTATATTTCTTAAGGTTCTCTATTTTTCTTCCTATACTCCTATACTGTAACGTTAAATTGACCATGTAAATGGCTGCTTGTCTTTACATGTGACCCTGTGAAGGACTGGTGATCCAGGGTGGACCCCACTCTAACCCCTGTGACCTCAAGGAGGATTAAGCTGTAGAAGATGAATTTTTCTAGTAAAATCATTACCATTGACCAAACTTTACTCAAAGAGAAGACATAAATATTTGGGAAAAAAATGTTGAGTGGTACACAGAAATGTGAGATCTTTCAAGTCAATAATGTACTGGAGGGTTGTCTAATTACTTGGCTTTTAGAAAGTTACTGATGTTGTCCTTAAAAGCTGGAACTCAAAGGCTGCCTCACTTTAAGGCGCAGTCCCTCTCTCATGCTTTCCAATACAATTGCTTGGCAGGGGTAAATGCACTCACAATGCCCTCTGTTACTGGGAGAGCGTGGTCCTTATACACTGCGAACTTTTGAACCACCTCTTGACCACAGCTTGAAGGGAGTGGAGACAATGGTTAGTAAACACACCGCAGTGAATGAAGGGATTAGGTATTAAATGACAGGATGTGCTTAAAGAGGAGCAGGTGGTGGTTAAGGAAAGGCCAGCTTAAGCCTTGGAGGAGCAGGAACATCATGCATCTCCACATGGCCTTTTTTCTGGCTTCTCCATCTTCACCGCTCTGATCTTTCACACTCTACCCGTTTATATTTCCCTGGTCGTTTCCCCCGCTCTATCTCCTCATCTGTGTGTGCTCTCTATCTCTACTGCCCACCACTGCACAACCAGAGGATCCTGCCCTTTACCTCAGGCCTGAGACAATTGACATTCATGAGTTTGGACATTCCGGTCCATCCCCATTCATATGTACAGTAAGAAAGGAGACAAAAGCCACCTCACACTCTGTAGAGCCCCATGTGAGGGTCACAGGAGAGTGGTGTCAGGCAGTGTGTATGTGTGTGACACCCAGAGATTATGCAACTGTCTTTAGCCGTTTACCGTTTAATTCAGGGAAACCTTTAGCTTTTACTACTTTCTCGGCTAACTTTAAGTCAGTTGGTTAATTTGATTCAGTCCAAGTCTATGTCCATGTTTTGGCTGGCTAAAGTGTGTCTTACATAAAGATATTATTTTATACACTAATTAGCAAAATGTTTCTTTGAATGTGGTTCAACTAAAATAAATTAAGCACTAAGGCACTGACTAAAACCTAATCAGCATTTATCTTATACTAATCTTAACTTAAGTCCCACAACACAATGTCTGACATATGAGCTGTGCCGTAGAAGCCCCCGGGTCTTGATACTGTTTTTGTTTCATATGCTTTAAAGACACGTCGTCACAGCCCTGCACTCTTTTCTGGACCTGCTATTTCACACAGCAGAATTTTAACTTCTCATCTAAAAAATGCCGCATCATCAGTTGTTATATTTTCACTTCCTCTGATTGAGTGAAGAGATTTTACACGTCACAATGAAAGCCTTATTTCACTGAATGGAGCTGCACGTGACCCTTTTGTTGGTTTGTTGTAATCAGCAGTATACAATTTCTTTCATCATGGTGGTAATTAGCTTCAGCGTTGGACACAAGTGACAGCATTGGTAGTCTGGATTTCACATCGAGTATATCCAGTGAGAAAAATTAGAAAACCAGACAGTACAACAAAGGCACAGGCAGCCTCGAAGAGTATGAGCTGAGAAAGACTGAGGAGGACTGGCGCTGACCTCATACACATGTAAAAGGAGAACCTCACAATCTACTATGACCTCAGGTGAACTAAGACTAAGTTTAATTAGTAGCTTACCTATACATAGACACACCCATGCCCATTGTTTGGACTACTAACACCGGTATCTCTTACACTGGTGTGCAAAGGGTTTTCTTTTTATATATTTATCAAAAAGTCGTTGCACCCCAGTAAGGATTTAATACTGTTAATTCTTCTGAGCTTTAACTTAGATACAAAAACTGAATGGCAGAGAGGACTGATGCGTGTGAGGAGTGGGAAAGTTACACTGATCCATCTGTAATCAGATCACTGTTCAGACGTAGCTCAGTAACATGTGATCCCTGCATTATCTCAGTGTTTACCTGTTTAACACCTCAGAGGGAGTTTGACGTGACATTTGTGCCTATATATAGCTCACTGGACATTGAGTGTGTGTGAGGAAAGCCGCCTGTGTGGAGGCAATAAATATTGTTTGAGCAAACCTATAATTTTCGAGACAGGTAAAGGTAAATTTGATGGGAAAAAAGCCCATCAAGAAATAAGGACATGTTCTATATTGTTTTGCCAGGACAGAGATCCTTAGTATAGACCCGTGTCAGCAGGTGTTGTGTAATTTGAGACTCTATGATCTTGATTAAATGAGACCATGTGTTCTTGAATAAATGATGTCAGCACCCTTGAACTCAAATCTGTGTAATGAGATCCTTCTTGACATATGGGGTCTTTCAGTGTGACTTCACAGTCAACCACAGGGAGTTTTTTTTTTTTTTTTAATGAAGGTGTGTAACCGTAGACCTTATTTGTTTTAGGTACTCTATGTGAATATGAGTCTGTAGAAAAGACTTGGCTTGCAGTTTGATTTTTAATGCCAAAAATATGGTCTATTTTCAGCCAAATGTGATTATGATTTAAATTCTCATAATCTACTTATAATACAGAATAACTTCCAAACCCAGTAGACCGTGTCTGTTCCTTTCAAGTTTCACACTGCAACCATGATGTGCTCCCACATGGTTATTCTCATTTCCTATATACAGTCTATGAATGCAACACTGACCTGAAATCAAGATATCCTTCCAAATTCCAAATTCCATTACCGGTTTTTGTTTATCAAACATAGTTTACACATCCTTCCTGTCTCTTAAAGATTAAAAGATTGAGCAAAGATTGCTGGTTCAAATCTCAGCAAGGCAGGGCTATTATGTGTTGAGTAGGCATCAAGAGAAAAAAACCCTCTCCTGTTCCTGGACTCAGTAACGTACCTGACACTGCTCATGTTCACAGATAGATTCAATGCAGAGGAAACATTTTTGTGTGCGTATATGCATAGACAAATAGCGCTCTGTCTTGTGGTTCTAAGAACAAACAACAACCTTTAAGAAGTGGACAGAGCAAACAACAAAACGTGCTGAACATGGAGAAGCACAAAAAAAGACAAGGCCAGACACTGCAAGGGTACTTAAGGGCCCCTGACCCTTCTATTGTGGTAAGATTAGAGATGAGCCAGCTCTACAGCTGGAAAGGTCAGCTTGCACACAAGGTCAAGCCGACATGGTCCTGTTATACCCAACATCAAAGACAAGTCCAGGGCCTGTCATGCTCCTTCTGAGCCAGGATGAAAACAGCGACACTAATCCCAATGGCCACTCGCTGCTGCCCTTGCAGTTAGGACAGAGGTCATCTGGGTGTACAAATCCTAAGAATTTCATTTAATCATGGCAACTAGCCACAGCAAAGATCTTTGATGTTTGTGGGTTTTTTTTTACGCTTTGCACATGCCCTGTGTTTGATGAATACTGCTGAATTAACATATTACCCCAAGTGGGTATGACTTGGTATTGAACTGGAGTGAACTCCTCGCTTAATACATTTTTCATGAGTTTTAAAATAATGGTACCCATGTGAAAAGATTCCCATGGAACACAAGTTCAAAAGTGTTTGCCGGCTGCATAAGCTCTTTAGCTGGGAATGTTAAGGTCACAGTAGCTGCTTGATGAAGAAAAAACACAATAAAGAAGTTTTTGAGAACAGTAATCCAACTATTCAGCATCAAAAGAGTCTATTTTCCCAACCAATAATTTAAAAAAATACTTAAAAAAAAAAAAAAAAAGCCAAGGTAGATTTTGGAAATGCGATTATTGAACAATTCTGTGCAGCTGCTTTACTGTCTAATCTCTTCATGACAGCTCAAAATTGAGGAGTCTTTTATTATCTGCTGTTCCGGCCCTAATCCCATGTGCCCCCTTGTCACATACACCAACTGTTTGAAAACCCCAGGTCACTCCTCAGAAACCTGAATCCTCTCTGAAACACTCTCCATACTTTTTGCCTAAAGTATAAGCACGTGGCTGTGTGTTTTAGAATGACTTGAGACTGTTTACTTACATTTAAATGACAGAAACTTCACAAGTTTCACCTTTTTATCATACAAAGCTGTCACAGGTTGCAAAATCAGTAGCATAGCAAAGTAAGAAAACCAGCTAGGAAGCCATGCCTACCATCTGTGTCAACCAGTCAGTGGATTTCCCACCATGTATAATTAACACGTGAGAAACATCAGGGGACAAACTCAGACATGATATGTTCACATAGTAGATGCTGGGAACACCACCTTATTAATATTAGATTAGTTACTGTTAAATCATTACACAATTTATCCTTGTACACTCAGAATGTTACAGTAAGAGTGAGAAAAGTTCAGGTGTTTTCATATTCACCTGATTCTGAATGTGATTCTAGGTAATATGTAAAAGTGGTCACAATGGAGGAGAAGGAAATAAATACAGATCATCTCAGTGCAGATTAAATATGTGTTTATTCTAAAGGTATTTTCAATGCAACAACAAAAAAACTATAACGAACAATTACTGTATATCTATTAAGAAGCAATACATAGTTCTTTCCTTAATTTCACAGATACAAACAATTACATGACAGCACAACATGCCAATGAAAGCCATTCACCAAGAGAAACTTCCAATACAACAACTTAATTATCTACAAATTAGGTATAAGTGTAAATAAGTGTAAGTATCACTGTAGTATAGATGCTTTAATACAATGAACCACTGAGCTCATCCTTTGAAGGCTTGATTTTCTTTTAGCACTTAGTGCAGAAACACAGCCCTGACTGCTTCTCTGTGATGATTTTTTCCAGAGCAGTTACACAGAGCAGTGATCTCATAGCCTAGAGGAACAGTACTATACCAGGGTCATGACTTTCAGAGAGGCAGGCTGGAACCTACGGATCTTCTTTTTCAGAGCACGGGAAGCTTTGATCCTACAGGCTGATGGCTCGGGGCGTGGGGGCTGCTGGAGGGGCCGTTGAGCACTAATGGTCCCTGGAGGAACCTCGGCCCACACCAAACTTCCCTCCTCGTGACTGTCCACCTGGTCTTCCTCGTCCAGAGACAGGCTGCTGTCAGAGTCTGAGAAAGACTGAAAGCTCTGGCTGGACTCACTATCTCCAAAGCGGTTGGTGGTGTTGTCACTCATCTCCCCCTCGCTGCTCTCTGCGATAGTGGAGTGAAACAGGGAGGCACATTCAGCTGAATACTCAGAGTCACATCTGGGGGGGTAGAGGCTTGTTATTTGGAAAGGTGCTGGAGGGTATCTGGAGTTAAGATTGCGGAGGAAAGAGTTGGAGGAAACCGACGTTGGGAAAGAACGATGTGGACCAGTCCACTGGCCCGGCTTGGCACTTATACTGCGGACCATCTGCATTCTCCCCGTTGGCAGACCATTGGGCTGTTTCAGGCCCTGGCGCCGTGAAAAAGGAGCCTGGAACATCTCAGCATCAGATGGCCACCTCACAGCTTCTTGCCTCCTCTTCCTCTGTTCTGCAGGCTGGTGATACTCCAAGCACCGAGGTCTTTGGCTTTTAGTGGATTTGGTTATAGAAATGGGTTGTGGCTTCAGGGGAACCCTGTGGCTGGGCATGACTATCTGGCCACAGTGACTGGAGTCTGAACCTGAAGTCTGTCTGCGTTCCTCTGTATGACAGGTGGTCATCTTCTGGGTGGCTTTTCCCTTTCCGGACCTTCTCTGCTCTCCTTTAGTTCCAACACTGATCTCCCTGGTTCTTTCACCAGACGAGTATCCATGATGGTGCCTGGTAGATCGAGATTTATCCGTGCCTTTTCTTCGCAGTTTCACAGCTTTGGTTTTACGGTCTGCCTGTCGTACCTTGACCCTCTGGGATTCAGCAGGGACAAACTTGGCATGAACAAACTCTGGTGAAGCCGCGTGGCCACTGTTGACTTCAAAAACCTGACTCTCCTCTGTGCTGGAGTTATGGGACATCACTGGTCTGTGCAGATGGCAATTTCTCTCTGGTTGCCTCGGGTCTACATTTTTCTCACTTCGATTTTCTGGCTGACTTCTGGTTACACTTGTGTATTCTACTGAAGGCTTATTCTTTCCAAGGGTTGAAGTGGTCACCTCGTCAAAGCTATACTCTTTTTTAGCGACAGAATTTAAAAATCTGCAGGGAACCTCTTGCGTTCTTACTGGCTGTTGGGCGTTTGTGTTAAGAACTGGCTCTTGGCTGAAGAATGTCATGCACTGTATGTTTTGGTCACTATTTCTTGGAATGGTATTTGAGCCTGAAGCTGGAAGAAGTTTGAGTGAACACACGTCATTCCGAGGCACATCTTGAAACAGAGCTGTAACGGCAGTTTTCCTGTGATAGTAGTTAAGTGTCTGCTGGTTCTCTGTGCTTTTTTCCATCTGCATTTTACTCAAACTGCGCTGAAGAAGCTTGTCAATGTACCCTGGGGTCTTGGTCTCACAGCTCATTTGTGCTCTCTGAAGGGTGTCAGCACCATTTGTTGTGGGAGTTTTGCCCTCTAAAAGTCCAGGTATTGGTGGGTTTCCTCCATTAACAAAGATTGGACTCTGGAGAGCCACTGCATGCAGAGGGCTGGGGTAGTGGTACACTTCAGTGCCACTGCGGGAAACAAGGTTGTTCTGAAACCTGGTATCCACAGAAGAAGCTTTTACTGTTGAGCACATTAAGGGTTTCTTTGCATCCCCTGATTTGAAGTTGTTTGGTCCTTGGGTCAACATTCTGTCAAGATCACCTGAGAGGAAACACAAAATATAGGGATACATCATTATAATTAAAGTCCAAATTTAAACAGATGTATGATGAAGATATATTACTTTTCATAAATATATATATATATATATTTTTTTACCTGTTGACACCGGTCTTGGTCGTGCATGTTCATTGCATGTAGTGCTTGTTCGAATTCTGCTGCTGCCCAAATGGAGGCCTGTGGCCCGAGGAGGGTTGGGCTGGGCCGTGCTCTCATCGGCAGACCGTCGGCGACAGACGTCAGCTTGCGCTGGAGGGCCAGCGTGTAGGTTAGAAGGGCTCAGAGGAAGGAGAAGGCTTGTCTGAGACGACGACAAACATTCACTGTACACCGATGTGCACGAGTTTGAGAGGGAGCAAGAGCCTCCGTCACTGAGCTCGTAAAAACCTAAGAAGTAAAGACAACGTATTATTTTTCAAAGAATTTAAAGTTGTCTCTATAAATGAGTGTATGGTTCACACAGTCTTCCCGTTTAAAAAAAAAAAAAGAACTGATGTGTGATTTTAAGCGCCCACAAACCTGAACTTGGCCGACTATCACTCTCCATCTGCTCTGTGGAGGCCTTGCTGACATCCAGCTTGAGCTCACTGATTTGTTGGTCCAGCTGTTGCAGGTGTGACTTCAGGCCCACATCCTGTTTACGAAGGCGAGACTGTAAAACAGGCACAGACATAAAATTTTATCCAAATTCCTGCCGAACCCACACCTTCAAGTCAAATAAAATTACATGTCCAGTTTTGTAAGCATTTACATGGGAATTAATAACAGAAGAATATTTTACCACACTCAGCATAAAATGCACATGTTAACGGTGTAATTTTATTAGGATGGGTTCTGTCATCTGCAAAAAAGATGCCCTAATGTAAAGCCATCAGACAAACAAAGGTGACTCAGCTGTGGCTGATGATTAACCCCAGCAGGACATGGGGGAGCATGGAAGAAGCAGTGGTGGGTAACTCATTTCTCCCCCACAGCGAGGGCCTGGCCATTGTGTAAACTAGTAGAGGAGAAAAGCATGGGGGTTGGGACATGAGAACTGTTTGCTTTGCGGCTGAGGCTGGGCATTTACTGTTACAGTGATTCTTAAAAAGGAAAAATTTAGGATAAAATTTCAACTTATTGTATGTAGACAAACTGTTGAATATATAACTCTGCATGTGGGACTGTTTTGCTGTGCAGCCAAACAGCTATATTAAAAAAAACAACACACAAACACACACAGAACCACTGTATAAATTGACGGGCAGGATGACTTGTCTATGATCCTGCTCTGCATAGACATTAAACACAGCACCTAAATCCCAGTGCTGTTAACACTTAATGACAGCAACGTGCATGGAAAAAGCTGGTCATAGGAAACTCCACAGAGTAAAATAGTTTCCTAGACTCAGGGTGCCTCTCAGGACTGACACACTCACATGGTGTCAATTACTGCAAAAATGCACCTTTTGAAAAAAACACCAGTGTCAAAAAGACTCATTAAAGGGCAATGATTGAAATCCTCTCATCACCTCATACACACATGCAATACAGTAAAACTGTAAGTTATCAAGCAACCTATCCAAAGAATAATCTATTTTTTAACTTAGGCATTTAGTCTATATAATTGTTATTTTTGCTTAACTGTTTTGAGATCTATCTATCTCAGTCTTTCCCAACATTTTTTGAGCCACGGCACTTATATATCGTCAAGAAAACCCCCACAGCACACACCACACAAAAAAATCTCACAAAAAGTATTTAAAATGAAACATAATAATCTAATCCAGTTTAAATGACCTCAAAATTGACTAAAATCTCAGCCTGTTTAGTTGAAGACAACGTTGATATATTGACAGGAATTGAAGAAAGACACTCACAAAGACCTTCTCCAACACCTTCTCTGATTTTTTTTTGTTTTCATTTGAGCAAAGAAAACTTATATGCAATAAATAAATACTAGTTTTCAACTAAATTAGGTGAAATTGGATAATTTTCCACAGCAACCTAATGATCTCTCACGGCATTCTAGTGTTCCACAGCACAGTGGTTGGGAATTACTGATTTATCTGATTTAAAGTCCTTATGCTCCTGCAGTGACTGCTGATTTATGACATCATTCTTACTTCCTACCCCCAGCTGAGTGTGAAAATGAGTCTGGTAATAATTGAAGAATGAATGTGGGAATCAGCTGACGACTTCAGTCAAGGACATTTAAAGGTAAATAAGAACACTTTTTTTTAAACCAAACTACTGAATAGAACAAAGTCACATGTTTAGTTTCAATGTTTAGTTTTTAAAACTTCATACCAGCTGTTGCTTCAGGGCTGACAGGGTCGCCTCCAGCCGCTGCTCCTCAGCCCCCATGGTCCTAAGTACCTCCGGTCCTGCATGGACACGAGTGACCGGATCCTCTCGGTCCATCCTCAGCGCCCAGCTCACCATGTCGCTCTGTCTGTCTTTGAGCAGATGCAGCTCCTGCAGCCCGGCCATGGCCGCCTGCAGCCTCTCCCCGACCCTGCTGCGGTCCACTCCTGCAGCGGCCGCACTCATCATCCCTGCACAAGATCCCTTCCTGCTCAGCATGTTGGAGGAGAGCAGCATGTTCCGGGCATAGTCCAAAAAACGACAGCGGTGCAAGAGCGTTCCACCTCAGACAGTGCTGCTGTGTTGATGTTGTTGTTGTTGTTGCTGCTGCTGCTGCTAGTGTTGTTGACCTGGTTGGTGTTTTAACTACCTGTTAGTTTAAAAGTCGACCACTGGGAAATACTAGGCTCCGCCCACAGACCAAATGGCCTTCCTTCCTATTGGCTGTTCACCGAATCCCAATGAACATCTGGTAGTAATCCTCCCCATTCACTCCTCAGTAGAGCTGCTCTGACGTGTTGCCAAAATCCATGTGCACAGCGCCACTGTAATGTGTGGAGAATTTGTTTTTCTTCCTTTCTTGTTTGTTTTTGCTTTATACCACGCAACATTAAACTCTAGGGTTATTTTTGTAAAACATGTTCTGTAAAAAAATATATTAAGTTAGCATGTGTTACAGGTACAGCTATTAGCAAAGGAAATATATATATATTTGAATGCAATGCGATTAAAAATCACCTTATCATTAGCACATTTTTAAAAATATATTTTACTCAGTTATTTAACGGATCATCTTATTTGCCCCGACTGTATCATCTCTATAAAAGCCAACAGAAACGTCAGTTAGAAAAGAAAAAAGTACAATCACGCCCTCGTGTGGCAACCCAAATAGCTGCAGTCGCATGGCTGTAATGACAAAAGCGGTATACCCCTAGGGAAAAAAATAAAAATAAAACATTTAATTTTGGTAATTTTCTTGAATTTACACCAACATGAGAAAGGACAAGGATAAGATTCGTTTTCACTCAATTTACTTTACTGACCCTTGGCAAATTTAATCAAAACATAAAGGACACACTCAAGAATCAAAGTTAGGCCTAAAATGAAATATGTAAATAGATTGACAGATTGACATAGATGGACATGGAACATGAAAGCTAGTGTAACTGCAACTGAAATGTAAAAATTATGTTAAATGAATAGGACAGGTCAAATATGTTTTTATTCTGTATTCAGCATTAATTGGAACCATATGTCGAGCTGTCTTTAGGGTAATTCAGCTTTGGGAACTAGAAACCGGAAAAAAAAGGCAACAATACAACAATGCCTCCGTGTGGCAAGAGAAATAGCTGCAGTAAAAAAAGGCACCCAATGCCAATGTGAAAAACAAAATTAAACGCGTGATCGAATGATTTAGCTACAACCAGTGGTGACTTTACAAGCTGTACTTTTAGACACCTTTCATTTAAATGATTGATGGTTTGAACGATACACAAAAATATGGATAAAGACAGTTTAAATGAAACCAAAGTCAGTATAGAAGCCTGGTAAATAGCTGAATACCTCTGTCCACATGTCCACATCAAGAGGTCAATAGCCGGAAGCCCGAGTTTGATCACCTGATCCTTTCCACCTGCGTCTTTTTATGCCTTTGCCCTCTTTTAGTATACAGTATATACCTGTGTCTCCCTCTAGTGGTTCATCTGTAGGCATTACCCCTGGGGCAACCAGCACTATACAGTATGTGACAGAACCTCTGGTGTCTTTTGCTGAATTCCTTTATATATCAAGTATTTGCTGTGTTTGCTCTGTGTCTGTATGAAGACTGATTTTGACTTCTCTGAGTTTCTTTCTGAAGCTGCGTGAGTGTAAAAGCTCTGTGAATGCTCATCAAACCTGGAACCGAGATATTCATCCTTCTCCACAGGAGATGATTGGGACTATTGAATATGCCCTGGATACTACTCAGAACCTGAAGCAACAGGAATCACAGCACATTCTTTCCGTTGGGTTGAGCTGTTGTTCATGAAAAAGTTGAAAACGACACACTTGTTTTCATTGTTACTAATTTGATAACAAATCAACAAAGGATTGATTGAGCCCTTATCACTGACCAACGATACACGAGGCTTCTTCAGCATACCTTTATCTGCTGCAGCAGGTGTGGAGATGCTTTACTGCTGATATCTGCTACAGTCTCATGTTATACCAGGAGTTCAAAAGAAATACCTGAATACCAGGAGTGTACACCTGCCTGGCCCTCTCCACCCTCCCCCTTCACTGTGTCTCTCTGTCTCTCTCTATTTCTCTTTCTTACCCTCCCTAACTATCTAGCACTATCACATACAAGTGACATAACATAAATACAGTATTACATTTACTAGCTCCATGCTTCAACCGAACATTCGACACACACCTAACAGTAAATACAGTGTTTGCTGAACAATCATGCGTAAATATTATGCAGCTACATATAGTGAAACTTAAATAAAAATAAAAATTAGTATCAATAAAAGACTACTAGTATCCGACACTAGATGGCAGTATCACTTTACTGTTAATATTGAAGTATAAGAGATAATGCATTGTTTTTTAATGAACAAACTATTATAAATATAGAAAAGATAACAACAACAACAATAAAAATAATCATAATAATTATAATAATCATAATCATGATGCTATGACATCATCATACAAACACTGCACATTCTCCCAGGTATAGCATCATGTCCTTGTGATGCTGTAGGGACATAACAGTGTATTGTGATGCCTGGATGTCCCTCTGCCCCTATTGTCTTCAAAGCATTTCCTCTGTGGTGACATCAGTTGGGTTGCTGCTTTAAAAAAATGTGTCCACACACAATCAGGTGTGGCCTTTGTCCTTGATTTAGCAACATCCATCATTGTCATCTTCTCAAAAACAACTTTTACCCACCACTTTAAGTGGCTACATCCAAATATTTGGCTCACTCAGTTTGCGTGGCTACTTCTTTGTGTTCAGCATTTATCAGCAGATTTTCCACCCTCCCACCTATTTTCCATCCACTTAAAAGATGATAAAAAGCCAAATGTTGATAACAAAACAAAAGCTCACAGGCAGGAATCCCTTTTACTTCATCCTCAACCAGCTGCAGTGGAAAGAGGGTTTGTACCTTCTCAGGCAGATACAGTACACACAGGGACAATAGATGATGCTGTGTACAAACACGATGCGTGAGATGGAGGTCTGCGGTTAACTTGTTGTGAGACTCTGTGTGTATGTGTGAGGAGAGTGAATCTGTTGTCAGCTTTGTGTAGATGGAAAAAACAAGCTGTGCACATGTAGGCATTATGAGCTTAGGACTTCAAAGAAGGGAAATCAGATATCACACATAAGTCACTCTGATGCTTGAAAAATGCAGAATTCCTACGTTGGGTGTTGTTGTCTTTTCCGGAGGTTTTGTGTCTTTTCACATGTTGCATGTCTGGGGATTCCCATGCAGGTTCCCTGATTGAAAATCCCTTTCCCAGGTATTCTGTCATCAACAAAGCACAGATCTTTAGAGATCAAAGTGGCCCCTTGTGGCTGACAGGAGAGCCTCTGCTTCTCCTGCCACCTTTGACCACTGCTGTCTTAGCTCAACTATTACACTTTTATTACAGGAATTAATCAAAAAAATTACTTTTTCATGTTACTTTCCAGCCAACTGCCATATGTCATCCTGTGCTTGAGAGCTATCAAGGGACAGAACTAGATTTTTTTATTTCACCGCGATAAATCTGTCCACTCTTTATCTGCAGATTCTACGGTGATATATATATATCACTTAAAGAAATGTTGTTTTGAAAAATTAGACTTATTTTTAATGTCTCCATAGATTTCAAATATAAAAACTCCATCTGTATTTCAGTCATCTCTCTTATGAGACATGTCAGAAATTCCACTTGGCTGCTTAACAAGTTTCTGGTCCTAAATCCTTGAACAGAAACCATTCGCCCTATTTGTACTTTAAATATCATCACAACTCCCTCAAGCAGCCATAGTTAAATCAGAAATGTGGTGAAAAATTATTAACCTACAGTAATAGATATTAGAATTTTACAAAGTTGAACTAGATTTGGGAGCTCCTTCTACCCTTCTGGGAAGCTATAGTGCAGACACACAATGCAGAATCCGCCATGATAGTTTCCAATTCATTCTCAGTGGAGCATTTCAAAGACTTATCTCATGATGAAATCCAAGATTAGAGACTTGCATAGTGTGGGCTTAACTTTGATTGAGAGTTTTTCATGGTAGAAAATGTTGAATGAACTCCTTAACATTGGTTGAAGTCTCTTTGAGGTGGCTTTAATGCAGTCTCACATACATTAAACCAGCCATAAAAGTGCTAAGACTAATAGAGGAGCACATCTGAGTGTCTTTTCAGTGTAGAGTTTTGTGATAAATTATTGTATTTCTTAAAATATTTAATTCAAGTCGATGAATTAACCAATAAACGCAGCACATTTACGGTATTGAGTTGACAGCCCCCAGTCTCCTTGTGCAGCAGCTATGTTATTAGCATTAAAGCTAACCAGAGCCATTGCAATGTATCTGCGTGTTGCAGTGAGTAAAAACCAGCTGTAGCCACATTAGCAGCGCCTAACTTGTTTTTCGTCAACAGCTGTTTAAAAAGTGCAAGTTCACCAAGGGAGTAAAAAGGTCAAGGCAATAAATGGTGAAATAACAGGGATAACAGCTACACGCTTCACAAAATATTAAGAGTCAGTATAGTTGTATTTGTTCACTAAAATACATGACATGTTTTATTTGAGATATTAGTCAAACTTTATGAGTTTTTTTTATTTACATTTTCATCTTTGCTGTTTAGGCTTTTTAAAATGTATTATTAATTATTTAAATTAACAAGAGACATTTTGAAAGTTTCTTGAGGATTTGCAACTCAACTGTTTTCTAGGCAGCCTGTCCCCAGTGGTTGGTGTGATCAGCCATAGCCTGACTGTCATCTTGTTCTCCATGTGCAGAACCAACTTCTCAGACGCTGAGTTGATTTGTCCTCAGAGGGCAGCACCTCTGCACATAAGTGAAACCTTTATGCCGTTCACTCGCAAAATTATCTCCTCATCAAATTTTGTTTGAGTTGAACCAATTCTTGTTTATTTAGCAGTGGAGGGAGACTGGCTTCCTTTCTGTACTCCTGCACATCATAAAGACATCAGTCTAAATTATCTGATTTAGCTCGGCCTGACCTATTAATGCAGGGAACTGCTCTCAGCCAAGTTCCAGTTCATAGCTCATACCTCTTGTATGACAAGCTGGGGGAGCTGTTTGGAAAAGTCGTCTCCCCCACGTTACCTCAGGGGACTGTCAACGGACACACTCTATCATGCACAATTGCTGCGAAGGCAGCGTTCATTAATATTTAGAAATATATTTCATATGTTTACACCTGCTTCACCCACAGGTATTTTATAGGGGTTTGAGACGACCTGTGTATGTGTACAGTGTAAGTGGCTGTTTGGGCTTCAGAAGGAGAAAAAACAAAATAAGTCTGAAAGACATCATTCACCTGGGGACGGCTACATTTCAGGCATGGATGTAAAAGTGTCAAAGTCCATACAAAGGAGACTTATCATGGTGAGTCTCAAATGGCCTGTATCTTTTCATAGGTAGGGAGACAGACGTCTGAGCTGTGTAAAACTTGGACATCGTACTAAACCGAGCCTGTCTGCACGGCCCTGGAGACCCATGCTTCTTTGCAGCCTCTGCTGAGTATAGGGAGTAAATTGGATTCCACGTTTGCTACTAAAAAGAACACCACTATGTCAGTTTGAATCAGAATCAAAGACTGGCTACACAATATCCCAGCATATATTTACCATGGTCCTCTATGGTCAGCTGGCAGTTAATAGTTTTCTTTCTTTTTAATATTTATTATCACAGGTCTCAGCGAACTGAGTTGAGTAACGATCTGAACATGTACAACGTAGCAGGACACGCTGAAGGAAGCTGCGATTTCTTCCTTTGGTGAAAGATGTTCATTGTGCAGTAGAGGCTGAGTCAGCAAATCCCTGGATTACAAAACTGTGGTTCCTCCGAGCTGCTCTAAAAGATGTTTTGTGAAATCGTGCATAAAGCAGTACAGTTATGGAGGCAGGCATACTTGTGATTTTTGGTGTGGGGTTAGTATTGCTTGGCCCATACTGATATGTCTCCACCACTGCCAGTTTTATTGTCACAGTGGTAGTTACAGATGTCCAGTATATCTCAGAGTGTAAACTTCTATCACTATTTATACACCGTCTGACTTGCATTTAAAAGTTTCACCAGCAACTGGTATAGTTTGAGGTAACTTGTGCTTACATTGTAGGATTGGCAGTCAGTAGTACCACTGGGGTACTTTGGTTTGATGCAACCCAGGTCTGGTCCAATTAAGAGATGAGGGACAGGAGGACACGAGGACTGAGCGGAGGATGAACCTGGAGGATGTTGCTTTCTCTAACTCAGTAAATTGCATCATTGAACATGTACAGTAATGATTATTACCTGAGCATTTGTAGTACCTACTGTGACCATTTGGTGGTGTTTTGGCAAAAATTATGGTAGGTTTGGGTGCTATGCAATAAAATATGTGGATTA